CTAAAACTTATGATTTGAAACTTGAATGACTAAAGTCAAAATGAGGACAAACTTAAGATATCAGAGATTATATTAACCTTTTTCCTTTTAATATAATTTTGTTGAGATTGAACATTATTAAATCTAATTGTAGCATTTTCATATCTAATTAAACCTTTTTTCCAAAGTCATATTTTTTTTATTTACAACATTTACACCCTCAACAATTTTTTAAAAATAGAGAATCCAGAAACATATTGATTACATAAAAAACAAAACAAAACTTTGTCTGCTAGAGCCTAGTGGTTCACAAAGGATATAATAAAGATCTTATAAAAAATTATCATCTCTCGAGGTTTTGGAAAACCTAAACATCCTGTCTTTTAATATTTGCATAATTTGTTTATTATTAATTTAAAAAATTATTTGCTACGCATGCCAAGCCTAATGTTCAAAGGAAATGCTCTGTACAAAAAAAAATTAAAAATATAAAAAGACTGATAATATAAATATTATTTATATAAAACTCAAAAGTACTCAAACGAGCACTCAACTTCAATATATTCGCTCAGAATATTTTTTATCTTCCAGCCTTCTAGGAACTTGCATTATATTCTGGGAGTCCCTAGAATCTGTAGAATATATCTACATATATTTGCACATATGAATGTGTAACACACACACACACATATATTGGGAGTGTGATTTCCAGAATAAAACTAGAAATTTCCAGAATGTGTGGAATGGGGGGAGGGAGGGAGGGAGAGAGAGAGAGAGAGAGATACCAAAAGGTCGAAAGGGTTTGAAGAAGTTGATCTGACACATCTTGATCCCTGAAATATGGCAGGGCAGGAATTGCAGAACAGCCCTTCTCCACAGTGTCTTCTTCTTGAGCATTTCTCCCCAAGCAACTGCGATACCAAACAGAACACCTTTAATAAACCCCTCTCTCTCTCTCTCCCTCTCAAAGCCACCAAGAAGATGTTTAGAATTGCAGAAACTAATGAAGGAGAAGACAACCTTGGAGTCTGTATCAGCAGCAGCAGAGGAAGAAGAAGAAGTGGTGAGGAGGAAGACAGAAGAAACAATGGTTATCATTATTATTAATGGCGGCACAGCCATTGAAGAAAAGGTCAAGCTTTCTCAGTGAAGGGTTCGGTGTTATGTGGCTTGGGATTTGGATGTGAAAGGTTTTAGTTTTAAGCGGAGGAAACTTCACCCTTGGATGCTTCCCGCACCTTTTTAAATTTGGACACACATGTATCATTAATCTCCATAAACCCAATGCTAGATTACTTTGTTCTTGTGTGGCTATATCAAAGTCTTTATAAATATAGTGTGACTTATTAATTAGATTTTGTTTTAGTTACCTTTTTTAATACATTTTTTTGGTTACTTTAGGAGGATTTGAATGTTAATCTCTGCTACAATGGATTTTATATTTTATATGAACATATTAACATTAATTTCATATTGAAAATATTGGTGTTGCTCTACTGGTAGGTGTGTTTTAGAAACATCGATTTGAGGTTTATTAGTTTTATTTACGGATTGTTTGAATGGAAACCAAATTTATAGTTTTAAAAGTGATTTTACGACATACGAGTAAACACGTAAGAGGAGTTTTATTTTAACTTTTTTAAAAGCGCTTTTTAAAATGCTTTTACTTGATACCAAACACCCTAATCAAGCTATCACAATTCATCTAATAATGAGGTAGATCAACAAAAATCTATCATAATAAATCTTCATTTGGATTCACGATTGGAGGGTGTTTAACTGTTTATTTGGTAGAGCGACTGAGGAAGAAGAAAAACCATGATTGAGAGTTTAAAAATAGCTTAATGGATTAGCTCCTTGTTTGGATGAGCGGTGGATTTTAAGCCAAAAGTTAATTTCAACCTAAAAAAGTCACAAGTTATTTTGAGTTCCTTATAAGAAAAGCTGCTTTTTAAACATAGAGAGAGAAGTAAAAAGAAAATAGAGAAGTTTAGGACAGAAGCACGTTTGGTATTTTTATATAGCAAAATTTTTAAAAAATGATTGTTGAATTTCAAAATTTTAAATTAGGAATTATTACAAAAATATGTTATCATTTGTATTTCGAATGTAGTTATTTTCTTTATAAGTATACTACCTCCGGTCCTTAATATAAGACCCCGTTTGACTTTTTGTTTGGTCCTAATTATAAGACCCCAATCCATTTTGTCTCTCATATTTATGTATTTTTTTCCCAAGATAGTCCTTCTAATAATGATAGTTCTAACCAATATACTTAATTAGCAAGGATATTTTAGGAATAACAACACTTATTTATTACAAATAACTAACTTAACTTACTTCCTTAATCTCCTCAAATTAGTCAATTGGGTCTTATAATTAGGACCGGAGGTAGTAGTAACTAATATTAATTTAAAATTTTGAAATTTGACACTTATTTTTTTGGTATATTTCCTTTTACTTACATCTGGATGGGCTTTTGATCAATTTGGCATTTGGAGCAAAAGTGGCTTAATAGCCTTAGCCAAGATGAAGCTGCTTTTTAGCTTATTCACTGTGAAAAAGGGGGGGGGGGAGATCACGGATACATAGAAGGATCTTAAAGTGGGCCCTATCTTGCTTTGATAAAAATTAAATGATAGAATTGAGAAAAAAGTTGGGGAAAAATTCACATTAGAAATTTAATTAGCGAGAAGAACCCGATAAATTTTTGCTTTTATAGACTCGTTTATTTGCATAAGTCAATATAAACATAAATTATATTATCTAACCTAATTTTTATTCAATCTTAAGTTTTCAAAAGTCTAATTAAAAATAAGCCACTTTATCTATTCCCAATTCAAACACGTCTAAAAAGCTGTTTGATAAGTCCAAAAAGCATTTTTGAAAAGTATTTTTTCATAAATCGAAACAAATTTTTACACATGTTTATTTCGTATGCTGTAAAAGTACTTTTAAAATCATCGTTTATTTCTATCTAAACACCCCCTAAATATTACACAATAAAGTGCTTTTGGTGTTGCTTAATGCCGAAAATCAACCTAAGAACAATAAAACATATCTATCTCTAAGTTATTATTACCTGCTTTTTAATTATAATTTCCTAAAAACTTATCTAGAAAAAATCACAAAAAAAGAAGTTGGAAGTTACTAAATCTCAAATCAGGCTTAGTAACAACACTTTATTTGGTGTTAATAACATTGAATTTGTATTGACAATAAATTTTTGTTGACATTCCTTATTTGACATTTAGTAATTTTTAACTTTTTTTTTTGTCATTTTTCCATTTATCTAAACACCCTGTTTTTGAATTAATTATGCTTATAAATCAATTTTATAATTTTTACTTTACCCAGCGCTATTTAAAAGCATCCCAAGCGTATGAGGGCTGTTTACGAGAAAAATGGTTAATGGATTTTAATTTGTATTAAATATATATTACTTTTCTGATCCTAAATATAAAACTCTTTTTGTAGTATAAATTACACTATAAAAAAAGTCTTATATTTAAGACCGGAAGAGTATATTACAATTAAGAATTTGAAAATAGAAATAAAAACAATGTATAAATTATTTGAGTGGGTGAAGATGAATGAATGGAGCCAAGTGAGATAAATAAGTACTGCTTGGGAAACTACCTGGAAATTGCTATTGCCATTTGTCCCTACCCCTTCATTTCCTGGTGTGACTCTAATAAACATTTTTATTTATTATGAAATTCGATGACTTTTTGTTTGATTGAATGAAAGGTACAATTTAAATTAACCATCCTTTACATCAAAATAAATAAATACCCCTTTAAGTAAGATGAATGACTTAGGATGGTTTAAATTTTGTGTAAAGAAATTATAATGAAAGAGATACCTATTATTTTAGCCACAATATTTGAATATTAAAAGATACTCAATAGACCTAAATATTAATTAATACAAAATACACAATGGAAAATAAGGAATCAACTTTCAGATTCCTAATCACAAAAAAGCTTCTTCCTTTTCTTTTCCCCGCTAACCAGGCAACATGGGGATTTTTTTTTGGGCCAAAAGCATGGGGATATTAAACTTCCAATTACAAAAACATATAAGTAGAGTTGAAAAAAATTTAAAAAAGAAAAAATAAGAGAGAAATTTAATTAAAATTTTTAGCACTACTTATTTATTTTTTAAATTAAATTTATTAAAATATCTTTTCCCTCTCCCCTGTGGCTTCCAACCAAACATGAGGTAGGCATGGAGAAGAGTGTGAGAAAATGGTTGCAGCTTGTCAATCTAACTCGTTTAATTTATGGTCAAGGCCCAAGGCATACGTGACTTAAGGGCAATTTGGGCTTGGATTTATCCCATAAGCCCATTAACGGTCTAAATGGGCCCAACCCAACACACCCAAAGTGAGGAAGAGATGGACACGAATTTCATCACCCATGTCCCATCGATGAGTAGCCATCATTGTATAGTGAGTTTCACCGACCTGGCTTTCCCGTCCGCCAGCCTCCTCTACCCCAAACCTGCCGTTTTGGGTGTTCCTCTGTTTGCTCTTGTGAGTGCAAGGCATTGAACATCTAAATAGTTCACACAACTTCATTCTCTAACCCAGTGACTGGCTAAAAAGAATTTTATTCTAAGCTGGATCATACAACATGAATCAATCATCCTCTAATAAATGTCATATGAAAGCAAGTGCAGTGAGTTTGCTATACAATTTTACAGCAACAAAAAGAATGAACAGTTCAAAAAACTCATAAATCTTGACGAAGGCAGGAAAAAACACTCAATAAAGCTATTGACCTTTGATTAACAATCTATTCAAAAATTTGGTTGTTAATAGAGCATCGTGTGATCCATACAGTCAATCCCACCTAATGAGATAATGCATGTTGTTATGGTAACAATATGAAAGGATGAGTAGGAAATAGGCGAATAGTGTGAGTACCCCAAGGACGTTGTTTGGTTACAGAAATTGCAATGGTTGAAGGAGGGATGGCCTCCCCAAGCTTTTCATTGGTTTAGACTTTCCTCTCACCTCATGCTCGTTTTACTAATTTTCGCTTCCCTAAAAATTCCACCATAGTTATGAGCAAACCATCTTATTGTTAATCAAAACATTCTTATCTCTTCACTACCAAGCCACGAATTGAGATTGTTAAAAAGCATACCCCTCACGGACTCAAGAGTATTTAACTGACCTTTCCACTTCTTGTTGCGGCAGAATGAGCTCCCACAGCAACATTGGAATGCTTTGATAGGGTGATCATGATCATCAAAGTCAATACCATAATCCTGCAGATAATTTCACACACTTCTAATTATTTATTTATGAGAGAAACTGGATGACCTCAGAAAATTGTAATAAAGTGACATGCATGCGGTAATTTAACTTTATTCTGGAGACGAGAAAACCATATTTCCTAACCAAGGTGCAAATAAAAAATCTCTATTAGTCAAAAAATTGAGAGAAAGTGTAAAAGTAAAGCAAATATAATGTCATATACTCCCTCCGTCCCTTTTTGTAAGAAAGAATCTTTCTCATAGAGGTGTCCCTAAATATAAAAAACAAATCATTTTTATCTGAAATTTTAAACTACTATTTCTACTTTTACCTTCATTAAATATATGTTATTTGTTATCTTTCTGCACATTTATTATCTCTCATGTACTCTTTTTACAAACAAGGATATAATTGAAAAAATACATATATTTCTTACATATTTAATGTTTTTAACTAAATTTAACTAACATTTTGAAGCGCGTGAAGGACGGAGGGAGTATTAATTAAGGCTCAAGCCTACCTACCCACGTCAACTCCTCATAAGCTCGCACTTTCCTGTTAGTGAAGAAGGCAAGCTGCAGATAACAACAGAAAATCAACTCTCAACACTTCCAAAAGATAATTTCATGCCTCCCGACACCAATTTTTGTAAATTAAACTGTTATGAATCTCCCCTCATAGGCACATACATAAGAAAGGTAAGATGTAAATATAACATCAATTAAATGCGTACATGATAATAATGGCGATCAGGAGTCTCCACTTCAACGGGAATGTCAATCAGATTTGCATCTGAGCATCTGAAAGTGAAAGCACACATCGTTTTAGAAAATTCAGATGAAAATAAAAAGAGAAGAGGGGGATCACACAAAATAAAGCTACATTAGTTAGCGGACCTCAACAGATCAAAAGCAACAACACACATCCAAATGGCAAGATTTTGTGGATCACCAAAGAAATTCAGAAACACTTCGCAATCCTTGCCAATTTCACCAAATATATTGAGCTCAAAGAAGAAAAAATACGCAAGTTGTAATACCATGAAATTCACCAATGTAGCCGTATGGTTTGGCAAATAAGCTATTCCATCTAGAAATTTAAGAAATATCATTGTTTTCCAAATGTAAGCCTTTAGACATAAACATTACCTATGATTGATAAATCTGGCAACATTTCCATTATATGTTGCATCTAGACACAGTGCCTCCTCATCTTCTAACACTCCTTCTGAGCCCCAGTCTGCATCAAGGGTTACAGGATATGTATGTCTCTCATTGCCATTTTTGTGCACAATTCTTTCATACAACTCCATGTTGGTTAATATTTCACCGACATATTCACAAACAAAGGATCCCCTAGGCAAATCTTCCAGTGTTCTAAGGCCCCAGCCCTTTCGTTCACCAGTAAAGAACACCTGAGAATTTCAGAACAACAATGTAGCCATATAAACTAAAATAAATACCGTAGGCATAAGAACCCAGGCTAGTATTAAAATACATGTAATAATGCAATTTTGAAAGAATTTCTTTTAACAAAAATTTTCGTGCTTATCGCTAGATGACAAAATTCACAGTGGGCCTTCGTGGTGAACCACAATGCTAAAATTACTGTTGTCATATTTCCCTATACTTGCCACCATGGTATATTTTTTTAATAACAAACTGAAGCAACCCAGGAAAACAAAATTGCCATTAAAAGCACCGTAAAAAAAATTAAGTGCAGCTTGCCTGTAATTTGCATCTTAAACCTCGTTGCACTATACGATTTCCACATTGCATGTCACATCCGCATTTCCTCCAACATTCCTTAATGAACCTCCTGATCAGATGCCCCTTGCATTGCTCAGGCATATATTCATTCTTGGACCTCTCTAGTGGGCACTCCTGACAGTACACCAGGTGATGAGCTTGAGGTTCCTTTTTCATTGACAAGCAAGATGTTAGAAATTCGTCTTTCAACAAGCCCTCCAGTGTGTAGGCAAACTCTCCACCAGTCTCTTGAGCACATGCACAAGGTAATGATTGAGAAAGACAGTCTCCTAAACAATCTGAGCAGCAACCTTCATCCGCAATACGAGCCAGTGAAATATTTACATTAGCACTCTGATATATTAGATTGTGTGGTATGTAATTAAACTTTGGCAGTTCCCCACTACCATACTCATCTATCAATGATATCTTCACCTTTTCTGAGCCTTTTGTTATGTCACTAAGAAACTGACATAGCTTCCTCTCATCCTGAGCAACAGCTTGTTGTGGGCCATTTGTTAATATGTTTGCATGGTTAAGCTCAGGATGTGAACGCTTTTGTTTCACATTTACTTCTCCCGATGATGAAGAGGCAATGTCAATATTAGCCTTGCTGCTTCTGGGGTTGTTATTATCTGCAGAATCAACAATGACACTGTTCAGATCCAGATACAGAGAAGACACCAACTTCACAGGATGATTTCTAGTCAAAACCTCAGACAGACCAGGGAGAAATCAGCCAAAAATTATATTATTTTAGTGATATGGACTATGGAGGAAGAAATTCATTAAGAAGATGCTAATATTTTCTTAATGAAAGAAAGCCTACATCTGCAGCATGATAAAACTTCGGAGGCCAGTACGTTTTTCTAAGAAACATGACCTACAAGGGCAAAGGAGGCCATGAATGAATTTGCTCAAGTTAAATTGCACAAATTATTTTCCTGGAAGATTAATCCAGAATTGTTCTGGATATGAATATCTGTCCTGAAGACGCAGTTCAATTCTGAAAAACAGTCTTACTGACCAATAAAATAGTAAATGACATAGATGATGATGTCGAGGGTGGCTACAAGGGATGAACCTGCACTCCTTTCTGATAGAGTAGCAGAATCTTATAAGATAGATCAGGTAATCACGAGATGGTAAAGTTGGATGTAGCTAACATATATAGGAATGAGATTGTCTTCAACAGCCCATTTCAGCCAGATATTTTCCGTTCCTATAAAAATGGGAAATAAAAATACGAGAAATCTACTGCTTTGAGAATACTTCTTCAGCCTTTCTCCCTTTGATGTAGAGGAAATGTTGAAAGAAAGGAGACAATTGAGGATTAATTCAAATAGAGTCAGATCAAGGTTCAACGGTTTAGGATATGAAAGCATAAGAAAAGAACATAGGCACAAATTTCTGATCAGGAAAACCAGAAAGATTACCTCTAGACCTTGTTGAACTGGATCCAAGATGGAACTTATTTTGTCCAGTTTTTGTCTTCAGTATCTCTTTCCTATAATGTCCATTTGGTACATTTTCTCTTCGTATAGGAGCAGATCTAGGCTTATCAGCAGGTTCTTCCCCACGCCTTTCAGAAGATTCTTTCTTAGAATTTGATTTTCTATCTGTAGTGGCCATGCCAGGCAACTCTGATATCTTTTCTATCTCGTTAATTCTTGTTTTCAGTGATTGAGGACCAATTTTAGGTCTCATATTGCTTGTCAAAGGTTGAGACGATTCAGTGATTTCCAATCCAAAAGTATTTAGAGGCGTTTTATTCTTTTCTGCAGATGGTATTTGTCTTGAGTTGTCCGTGGTTAACAAGAGCATATCATCTTCATCTGCCAATGATTGAGTTTGTCTTTCCCCAGCATGATGACTGACGAGAGCTATTCTCTTACCTCCCGCTTCCTATTTTAAAACAAGGGAATAAGGTATAAACTACAAAGTATACATATAAAAGTGTAGTTAAAGGAAAGAATTTAGTCAATGCAGATTTTTTTTTTTTTAATGCAATCAAGAGATAGTCAACAGATTATAACTTTCAGAGCGTCAATTCTTACTTGCTCAACAGATATAATATAAAACATGTGATGAGAATGTGCAAATAGAATATTTAGAAACAGAATAAACAAGTTGACATTTAAATGTACAACAAACAAAAGAAGTGTACAAGAGTTACCTTATCTTCCTTAAGCTCAAAGTATGCATCTACAAGTGTCCGATAATTATCTTCTTCAATATATTCCCATTTCTTATCATACAATCTTAGCAGCTTTTGCAACACTGGTTTCACTTCATCACAAGAAATTCCTAAATCCTTCATAGCGCTGAAGGCCTTGGCAACTCTTGAATTGGGGTTTGCATCGGGAGCCATGAGAGTTTCAATAATTTTTCCCCCTTACTAAGATAAGTGGCATTTTATTAAATCTCCATATCAACTTAAAGTTCAGATGCCCTAATTATTAATTCTTTTCCTGCATAAATTCAGAAAAATTCAACAAATAAGAAAGGTTTGATCCATTTCTTTTACTTTTGAAAAAGAAAAGACCATTGAAGAAAAAAGTGGAAGCAATAGCAAATATTATAGACACTCTGAAAAGGCCATGAAAATCATGAGACGCAGAAATTCCAACAACGAACTTTTAACAAGTCCGAAAGAGAGCAAAACATGAAAGATATGGAATTGCTGATCACTGCAAGACGCTAGATGGCAATTGGCATCATCCTCAATAAAATTTTAAAAGAATTTCAGGATGTCGTTCACAGTGTCACACTTTCTGCCTAAGATCAATGCATAACAATGAAACCAAGAGAAATTACCAAGAGAAATTGATAAAAAATTAATAAAAAGTTGGATATCGTGGAAGGGAACTGTGCATCTAAATTGGTAGTTAAACGCTGCTCAAGTCAAGAGGCAAAGGGGTAAATCATATTCACTGCAGCTCTTTGTCATATTTGGGGCTGTTAGAATTGATATCATTACATAATTGCAACGTCTGATTTAAGGCAAATGAGGACAAAGAAGAAAAATGAGCAAAAGTGAAGCAAAAATGGACAAAAATCAATAGATGATACTTTCTCTGCATATCAGATCCATGAGAGATGAGTAACTACAGCAAACATAGCTGGTAAGCAGTATATTATACGAGAAGAGATATTAACCCAATAAATGTGATGCAAGGAAAAAAATGGCAGATCTGGATTTCATTTATTTTCAAACGTAATATTTTGCAATTATGTCAATACAATATAAGGAAACAAAGCTTAAGTTAAAAGGAAGACCAATGAATCTCAATTATAAGCCCACCTAGTTTCTAAACAACAGAAATTGCACTTCTAACACAGCTAACAGACTTGGGCTCTCAAGGGAACGCTGTACATTTTACAAATAAACTTCTAATTCAAAAATCATAAACAAACTTGTGCTTACAACACATCTTTCTGCTCCATATCAAACAAAAACTGGAAAGGTTTAGGCAGTGCTTTCCTGATCATTTTTAATTCGAGATAATATATATATGTATATATATAAAGCATCATAGATGAACGTATTGTAAAAAACATGGTCTCGTATGGGTTTGGCAAAAAGATGCAGACAACCGACCATTAATAAATCAAAGAACCGTGTTTCAATGAAAAATAGTGAAAAAAAATGAATGAAATCTGACTGAAAACAAGGTGATGCCTAATAATCAACAAAACGAAGTTTTCATTTCTTGGTATATATAGCATAGAGAAAGAAATTTGAACAAGCAGTTTTAACAAAATATATATAGCCAACTGAAGTACTCAAATCACTATATCAGGTGCTTAAATCATAAGCATTCCAATTATTAAGATAAATTCTCCATTTTCATCCTGGATCAAATCCCTTTACTTTTTCTCTTTGGTTGGAAGCTAATATAAACATATTCAGTTATCATTATATCAGCAAAGGAACTGCATTTCCAACTGGGAAAATAGAGGTGAAGATTTCTTAGTATAAACACCAAAATTAAAGATTCCTTATTCACCAAGCAAACTAAAAGGCACCCAGTCTTATGGATCTTGGGAAATAGTTTTGTGAAAAATAGACTTCCTTTTGCTTCTGAGAGAAAGAGGTATAGCAACTTTAACTCTAAACCGAGGAAAGGTTGGTGCTGTAATGATCTATTGCAGTAAGCTCTCTAGAAAACAAGCTGAGAAGATGCATTTTTCATGCTTAATAAGCCAATACATAGTTACATACAGCAAATTTGTATCCTAATATGCTACACTCACCAAAAATCAAATTAACTTCAATAGTTTTATGCTTCTCCGTCTTCGACAACGACAACAAAAGCACTGTCACTCGAAAGAGCCACATGTAACAGTCAATACTACATTCTTTGCTTGGGTACCACTGAAAAAAAATGAAAGCCCTGAAATGATTAAAATGTTTTCCCATGACCCAATGGTGAAGCAAAAGATATTAAAATGAAAAGACCAAAGAAAGAAAGAGGTTTACATACGATCATACAAAGTCACCCGACAAAAACGAGAACCAGAAATGCGATTAAGTTGTTTCTTTATGGAGGAGAAGCTTTCAAAGAAGGTAGCAGTTATCTGAAAGATTCGAACAAGAGCAATGGAGGACTGGTAAGACGAGGTATATATGAAATATTAGAAATATAAACCCTTCCTGGAACTTCGGGGGAAGTTAATAATCAAGTAATTTTTCTGGTGAGAAATTAAGAATTTATGACTTCAATGGAGCCAGCAAGAGAAGCGCGATCATGCATGCATGTTTGGCAGCCAATAAAATCTCATCGGAGAAGGAACGGTACAAAGAAAGTTCAGTGTGTGAACTTTGGGGAGTGCCTGCGGGAATCTGCAGGTGAGGAAGCCGAACGTCGCCAAGGGGAGTGTTTGATATGGTAAGGCGTGAATACGGGATATGGGCCCAGTGATTTTGCTTTACCGTGCAACGCAAACAAACAGGCTATTTTTTGGGTAATTAAGAGAAAATCACTGTATTCAAAGAAAACACTCTTATGATTTTTAATATAAAACCTATTTAATTAATTTGATTAGATTAAAAAAGTTAGATAAGTTAGTTAATTATAAAAAATGTAACACATTTTTCTTAAAATACTATAATCATCTTTTTTAATACCCCTTCTTACTCTTCTACTTAATTATGGTTGAATAAGTATTCATAGGAGTAATTTAGAGAAAACTGATAAATATGATAAATGGGTCTTATATTTAGAATAAAAACCAACTTAATAATTAGGTCTTATATTAAGGACCGGAGGAGTATATTTTAAAAATAATTATCTAAATTAAATTTAACACTAACTTTTTTCCATTTATTCGAGGGGGGAAAAAGGGAGGATTTCAATAAATGCCCTTGGTAGGTAATTAATATCAGTCAACTCTCAAAACATTTTAAAATTTTAGTCAACTTGTTGAACCAAAATGAAATTAAAATTTAAGGATAAAAATACAATAATACCCCTCCTTTTTATTTTTTTTAAAGACAAATATTAATTGAACTCCGACCTCTTATTTAAAATACGGTAACCAAGGAGGGTTTGAATCCATAACTCCTAAGTACACTAAAAATATTGTGGCCACCAGGCCAACTAATCAACTTAATTATATAGTGCAAAGAAATATATATATATGTGTGTGTGTGTAACAAAATAAGTGTAAGTGTCCAAATGCAATGACAAGTGAAATTTAACGATTTACAAGTAGAATTTAGAAATTTTTAAAAACAATTCAGTGATTTGCAATAAATATAAAAGAGTTCATAACTCCAAAATGTGTGTTTAGATGTGGATGAGAAAGTAAAAATCCCAGATTTATAACAAAAATTTAATGATTTACAATTTAAATTCATTGATTCACAAAAAACATAAGGAAACTATAACGTCAAATGCAAATGTTTAAATGTATATAAATAAGTAAAATTCAGTAATTTATAACAAAAATTTGATAATTTACAACTTAAATTTAGTGACTTACAAGAAACATGAACACTTGTTATTTGAGGTTATGAATTCTCTTATATACTTTGTAATATTTATGTTTCTTGTAAGTCACTGAATTTGGGTTATAAATAGCTAAATTTTACTTATTCTTTCATAATTAAACACTTATATATGTGGTTGTGAATTCTTTTATGTTACTTATGAGTGCCAAATTTGGGTTATAAATCGCTGAATTTTTTTTATAAATATTTGAATTTCACTTATTTATTCACACCTAAACACTTATATTTGGGGTTGTGAATTTCTTTATATTTCTTGTAAATTGTTAAATTTTTGTTATAAATTGCTAAATTTCACTTGTTTATTTATATTTGTATTTGTTTTGTTATATATATATATATATATATATATTTCTTTGTTTCACAAGATCAAGTATATTGGTTGGTTGGACTGTTAGATTTTTTTTGCTACACCAAAAGGTCATAAGTTCAAATCCCCTTTGACCAGAGCTCTAGCAATAATTAATATTTGTTTTAAAAAAATAAAAAAGAGGGATATTATTATATTTTTATTCTTAAATTTTAATTTCATTTTAGTCCAAGAGGATTGACTAAAATTTTAAAATTTTTTGAGAGTTAACTAATATTAATTAGTTACCAAGACGTTTATTGAAATTCTCTTGAGAAAAAAAAAGAAAATAGAAGATTTTTTTAGTAAGAAAAACCAACGATTCCATTTTTTTTTTCAAATACTCTTATAAAATTAATGATTAACGATTAGATGTTAGGCATCTGCGTCTAGTCGGAGTTAGATGAAGCAAGATTTACATCCAGGTGGGAGAGATGGGGGAGACGTTCATATTTAGTGTTTAATATTATTTAAGATGAGATTTTAATAAAAAGATATATACACTCTCTCTAGTTTTTATTATAAGGAGGCCATCAATTAATTCATACAGATGAAAAATGACAGTTATATCATAATTTTGTTCTAAATTACAAAAATTTTCAAATATACCCTTACAAAAAAAAAGTCATTAATGATCCTATTAACCTTTTATAATAAGGATCAGAGTTTTCTTCTAGATGATCTCTTATAATGAAGACAATAGGAAGTACTTAAAAAGAAGAAAATCATAGTTAACCTTAAAAAATTAATTTTTTAATCATTTGTAATAAACATTTTCATTTTCATGATAGACTTTTATATTAAAAAAATATCATAAATAATTATTTAACTAGTAATCTAAATGATTTCATTATTTTTTAACAATAAATTTTAAAGCCAAAAACCTCTTGAATGAGATAAATCGTTGACAACCCATATCTCATTTCTTAAAGGAAGTTATAAGTCCTATGCCTCAAAGGCCAAAATGGAAAGTGTGTGAACTTGTGTGGTCGGGATTTAAATTGTTAAA